TCCTGGCCCTCTAAGACCGTTCCTGGCCCCCCAAGGCCCGTCCTTGTCCCCCCAAGGCCCGTCCTGGCCTTCCAAGGTCCTTTCTGGCCCTCCAAGGCCTTTCGTAGCTCTCCAAGACCATTCCTAGCTTCCCAAGGCCCGTCCTGGCCCTCTAAGACCGTTCCTGGCCACCTAAGGCCATTCATGGCCCTCCAAGGCTCGTCCTGGCCCATCAAGGACCGTTCCTAGCCCCCGCAAGGCCCGTCCTGGCCACCTAAGGCCATTCCTGGCCCCCCAAGGCCCGTCCTGGCCCATCAAGGGCCGTTCCTGGTCCCCCAGGCCCATCCTGGCCCTCTTAAGGCCATTCCTAGCCCCCCAGGCCTGTCCTGGCACCCAAGGCTGTTGCTAGCCCCCCAGGCCCATCTTGGCCCCCAGGCCTGTCCTGGCACCCAAGGCTGTTGCTAGCCCCCCAGGCTCGTCCTGGCCCTCCAAGGCTGTTCCTGGGCCTGCAAGGCCCATCCTGGCTCCCCAGGTCCATCGTGGCGCCGGCGTTGCCCCGGGGGGAAGGCAGGGCAGGTCTGCCAGGGTCCGGCCGCCCCGTTTGCAAGCTGCTCAAAGTGCTTTTTTTCGTCCCCCTCTATAGCACGGAGCGGGTCTTTCCTGCGTTACCGAGAGCCTCCTCCTCCGTTTTCCGCATTTGGGGTGAAGTTTGACCCACGCAGGCCACGCGCCTGTTCCTCTCAGCAGTAGGTACGTGTTTCCTCGATTAATATGCCTACAAACTAGTAATATCTCATTACCTGCCTTGGAGTCCGGCGGTTTTATATCAATAGCAAGACGAAGAAGGGTGGGTTTGGCTCCGAGTTAGTGTTTTTTCCTGGCAGAAACCCCAATGGCAGGCTGAGGTCCCCATCTGCAAAGGCCTCCGAGCTCCTCTGAACGGACGAGGAGGTATTTCTTCAGCCAGCGACAAGTGGTCTTTAAGGTAAAAGTCAAGCTTTAACCTTACACGTGCCTGTTCTTTCTCATTTGATTTCTTTCTCGTTTAATATCCTTAGGCTGATAAATTTAAGACGTTTTGTATTGTCATCAGGCAGAAATGCCTTCTGTCCTTTCTGTCCTGAACGGCTCTTTATCATGTGTTTAAGATGATAAATGACTCCCCCTTTTTCTCTCTTCTCCCGAGAGCCTGAATCTTTGATCTCTGGGACTAAAAGCTGACAAAGGGAAACCGCTATGCGAACAGGGAGGCCGGAGGGTTCGTCCCCAAGCGGTTCTGGCGCGAGCTTCATCCCGCAGCAGCGATCTTGGCCGGCGATCCGGGGGAAGAGCCGCAGCCGTCGCCAGTCGGACTCGCAGGTGACGCCGCGGCGGTCGGAAACGGCAGCGGGGACGGGACGCGTCATTTGATGTAGTGGGCCGCCGCGTTACCGCGGATTTTAACACGGCCATATATGAAGATGCACGCGCACCCAAACAGCGGCGATCTTTTTCCCTCCCCCCAGCCCAGAGCGAGGACGTTGGTGGTG